TCAATATTACGTAGAAGTTAACAATCTCAATTTCAACAATTGATACTAAAAGCGACATTGACATAATACAACAAGTCATTGAAAATGACACAATCCCCGTTAAGTTCTCTCTGTGCTCGTCATATTAAAGCGGAGGGGTTGTCGCGAGCGTGTCTTTGAAACTTGAGTTCCAAGTGGCGTATACAACAGATTGTTTATTTACATCAAAACACGTGTTTTGTGTCATAGTAATATGGTAAAAATAAAAACAGCCGTTATTCAGCCATCTTTGATCTGATTATGAAACACACTGATATGTATGATGTATGTGCCAAATACGAATGAAAATGGTACATAAATTGTGGAAATATAGTAGTAAGGCCAAAAAGTCAGATGGCTGTCAATCGGCCATCCTTGACCAGATTTTGAAACAAATTGTCATGGACATGCATCCTAACATGTATAAAGTACATGTATGTGCCAAATTTGAATGAAAACTGACCTCAGACTAGTAAAGAACTGACCGACCACATCCAGGATACCGCATAAAAAAACAAAAACAAGATGCCTGCCAGTCGACCATCTTTGATCCAATTGCGAAATAAATCGTCATGGACATGTATAATAACATGTATAATCTATGTACCAAGTTTGAATGACAGCTGACAAAGCATGTCCAAAATACAACATTTTCAAAAAACAAGATGGCTGCCAGTCGGCCATTTTGAATCGAATCGCTAAACCACTGCATGTGCATATGTCCCACATAAGGTACTAGGCATATGCAAAGAATGAACGGAATCGGTCCACAGGATTCTGAAATATGACGTTGGATATACTGACACACGGACAGACGGACACACGGACGGACAGACTCAGGAATTCACGGACGGTCGGGGACATGTATCCTAACATGTATGATCTATGTACTAAATTTGAATGAAAACTGACAAAGCATGTCCAAAATACAATATTTTCAAAAAACAAGATGGCTGCCAGTCGGCCATCTTTGATCCAATTGTGAAATAAATCATCATGGACATGTATCCTAACATGTATAATCTATGTACCAAGTTTGAATGAAAACTGACAAAGCATGTCCAAAATACAACATTTTCAAAAAACAAGATGGCTGCCAGTCGGCCATTTTGAATCGAATCGCTAAACCACTGCATGTGCATATGTCCCATATAAAGTACTAGGGACATGCAAAGAATGAACGGAATCGGTCCAAGGGATTCTGAGATATGACTCCGGACGGACGCACGGACGCACGGCCACACGGACGCACGGATGGACGGAGACCGAATTATAGTCCGAACGGGGACTAATTATTCCAACCCGGAATGCAGACACATCATGGAAAAATGAATAATTGCTACCAGAAAGCAAACGAAGCTGTAACAAACCTGTCGCCGACATCAGATATATCAGCGCGGACTTTAATAGTAGCCAACAAGAATTGTTGGATCACCTCACATACTATACAAGTATAATAAAAACGTATGGAAACCTAAGCTAATAATTCTAAACAATGAACTAAAGAACAGAAAACGAAATATAGTGGACTGGTCTGTCCTACAAGGTCGACTAATGATACACCAAATCAAAGATCATAACACACACAAGGGTTCAGATGAAAAGAGAAGGAGATTATAACAATATATTACTGCGGTGTTTGAAATCAATGCTCGTACCATTTATGGTATACAATTTTGCGACAGTCTCATATTTGTTGAGGCATTTTACGATCAATATTTGTTCACAAATTTGGTACTGGGAAAGAGGGATCATGA